TGGTGTGTTATCATGTGTTCTTTCTCTTAGCCTAAACAAAACTGAGTGACATTCTGACGTCTGACGTAAAAGGTAACACCTCCTGGGGTGTAACCAGGAAGGGATGAACATTATAAGCTCAATTCATTATTATAGTAGAAAGAAGTTGTCAGTGTTTTTGCAGAGTGTCTACTCAGAGCAGAGCTCCCGTGTTTGTTTTGGTTTGGCCCAAGGTTGTACGCTGAGGCCTGTGCTGCTGAGAACTGAAAGAGCCTAATTGGAGTCAGAGGACTGAAAATAGAGCTTTAAAGAAGAAATCCAGCTGAATCCTGTTTATTCGGACATACCATATTAAAACACGTATTTCATACACGGTAATGATTGCCAAAGTTAGCAAAATGCTAATCTACTAAACAAAAAGTTAGCTCGGCTCTTAGCTGTTAGTAGGCTAACAGAACTGAGTCCACCACTGGAAATGAGGTTTATGGCCTAATGGTCACGTGTTATTTAAATTTGTGCTAAACAGATAATTATGAATACCTTATTAATGGTTACCTCTGSGCCATAGTACCATCGTWCTGTAAATGTCRAAACACCAACAAAAAAYAAACAAAAAGACWTTTATAAAAATAACGCCTCACCATGGACGGCTGGGTGGACCCAGGCTGCACTTTCCCACTGGCCTGCCCGAAGGTGATCCTCTTCCTCCTCATCCTGAGGAAGACRTAGATGCGGACGTAGACCAGCAGAGTGACGATGAACGGCAGGTAGAAGGACACCACGGAGGAATAAATCACAAAGTCCGGGTTGGAGATGGAACACACTCTGGGGTCCTCTGCAGTGAAAATGAACAGATGTGTTTGTAAAAAAATAAAATAAAATAAAATAAAAACAGACCTCTGATCCCAGAAATTTATCTCTCAGTTGAGCTAACGGAGCTGTAAATAATGTAGCTGTACAGCGTAAACTGTACAATACCACATGACTTTAAAGGATCACTGACTAGTTGTAACATTAGACATTATTTGCTAAAACCTTTACTGCATGGCAATATAGGCTTTGTCCAAATTCAGAGGTTGGATCCTCTGAAGGCCGGATTTGTCGGTTGCTTACGTCACAGAGGCTGCCCAAATTTGAAGACTCTTCTGATGCAGCCGACAAATGCGTCCTTCCTTTGCCCCGAAAAGAAGGACAGATCCGATGGATGGATGGAATATTGCCTTTAGGCTAATTTTGTTGTTTTGTGATATTAATTATACTAATATATATGGATATTTTTCTAATTTCAATCAATTTTTGCTTCTGTTTAATGCTGTCACGGTTGCTAGTTACCGGACGTACGCCGGAGTAAAGATAAAGTCAAGGTTAGACCGTCCAAATTCACAGCCACTTTTTCCTGTCTTCGAGGTCGACTAAGGACCCGGCCCACCTGTTCTAGGTGGGCCGGGTCTTTTGGAGGACCCAGCTTCTGAATTTGGACACAGCCATATGGTGTTAGCTCCCAAGCTTTTAGCTTAGGAACTAATAGCAATAATATATTGCTAATAATAACATTAGCAATATAGCATTAGCTCCATCACTGTCATTATAGTGCAAAAAATATAAAATATAATTTTACTGTCAMACATTATAATTTTTTAGTCTTGACTCTTTGTGTTTTCGTCTGAACTGGAACCCATCATCAGTGTAACCCCGATAATGTAACGTGTTAGTAACAAAATGGTGATGTGCTTAAGTAAAAAAAATGTAATAAACAGATTTTTTAAATAATTAGAAGTTTTCACCCATCACAAACAACTTTTAGTAGAATAAACAAATAAGTAACATATTAAAGCTAACATGTGCAATTAATCAGACCCCTTTAATACCACAAAATCCACTGCAGTCTGTGCTTTCTAGATTCTTAAACTAATGTTATTTTTTTGTCCGACCTGCCAAACTACTGTTTAATTCACTGCTTCCCAGAAGCAACAACACACTCTGCACCTGATCGACCGYGAATCGAGCCGTTCGACACGAAGCGAAACAACAGATCCTGCAATCAACAGCTATTGTTTTTCATCGATTCAAAGTGAGCTTTAAACAAACGTTTTAACTGGCGCGAGCAGATTATTAATGTGTTTGTTATTTCATTGATTAGATATGAAGATTTTTGTGTTTGTGCGTGAAAAAAATACACATGACAGCAAATCTTGTTCTTTCTGATGTTCCTTCTTCAGGGGTCACAGGGAGTCATCCTCCTTCATTTTACTCTGTCCTCAACTACCTCTATGTCCTATTTAACAGCGTCCATACTGTCTTTCCTCTGACAAATGTGTCCTCATCTGCTGCTTCTCTCCTATTCGATTCATTCAGATGAAACTTTCATCAGTTTGAAAAAAACTGAGTGGTTCAGGGGTCAGTTTGAAGAAACGCACACAGAACTTTGGTCACCTTCATCGAGCGACTTTTACATGTCTTGATCTGCAGCAGAGCATTTTCAAAAATACCATTAATTTGTTTAAATGAGCTCTTCTTTATTAGCTGAGCTGATGGTAATGTTCAAACTGAATCTCAAGATGTTCAAACATTTAAGTTGTTTTGAAGCAATTACCACAAGAGTTTTCTGCTAAGTGATGGATGCTGCAGAGAAATGTGGGGCTCTGCAGTTCAGTTTGGAGGCTGAAAGTTTTTTTCCTCTCACTAATCATGCATTGAATAACATGACGTTAACATCATATTTAATCCTGTCTGCTCAATGAAAAGATATCTCTACTGCTTCTTAACGCAGATACAAACCTCTGCTGTCCTTTCCTTAGACATCACAAAGGTCAACTAAAGACAAGAAAGAATTTTTGAATGCATCTCTAAAACCATCTCCATCTTCTACCGCTTATCTGAACATGTAGTCTGGTCCAGGAGAGAAACTCTGACATCCCYCTCCCCAGCAGCACTTTCCACGTACAATTCCTGTCCCGTCCCACTCCTGTAACGCTCCTGTTGTTTAAAAAGTATTTAGTCTTTAGGCAGCAGAATGACTTTGATTTGATCTTCTTCCCATTCCTTTYCTGACAGCTCTGTGAGCGTAATGGATGGTTCCTGCTGACTTTTGGGTTGCAAATCAATTATTACCACATTGGTTTCTCCGCTGGTGTTTGCTCCCTCGCTCGCTGCTGTTCTTTGAATTCCTGCAGAAAACAGCAGCTGGAAGCACCGTTGAGTTCTGGGCCGTGTAGTTCTTTAACTTGCGTTACAGTGTAGGCATTTTAAAAGTAAACTACTAAATGGCAGTGCCGGTCCTATGATTTATTTATTATTATTATTACCTCTGCTAAGGGGGGATGTAATGTTTGTCTGTGGACAACATTACTCACAAACTGTGGATGGATTGTCATGACATTTTTACCACATGTGGGTACTGGCCCAAGGAACACACCATTAAATTTTGGTGACGTTCCGGATCATGGCGCGGATACAGGAATTTTTTATCTTTTAATTCCAGCAAATCAGCCAGGCTACGCAGTGTCATTACATCAGATGCATGCCTGTAGGAAACAGGAAGTACAACTCGCTAACTCGCTGGGACTTCACATCCCAGTATGTCTACTATCACGAAAGTTGTGATTATTCTGTTATCAACATTACATGCTGTCTGGAGACGTTGAAAAAGAAATGYGATTCTCTTCACGTTACGGGAACAACAGGACACCGACAGCGGGAGGAGGGTCCTGCTGCAACCGAGCCGAAGCTGGACTGTCCGCGGGAACAGCTGATCAACCTTGTCTGGTACCCCTCCACATAAGAATTTTATTGTGTGATTGCTCTGAAGTTCGTGGGAGTGTTTGTGCCGAAAGCGCTCACACGCTGTATTTCRCTTCAATCGCTCACTTCAAAATGAAAAAATAAAAAATAAATAGCCCGACTCGCTTCATGAGCTGATTGTACCAGGAAGCAGTTTATAAAGACAGTCAAACCAGTACAAACTCATAAAAGGGGATAACACAGACGTTTTACATGGTGGAATGTGACTGATGTAAACTTAGGAGCTTAATCTGGGACCAGTTTAACGATAATTAACGTTGGGTGACGAGTTTGACCTTTTATATTTTCACATTGGACTCCACCGGGAAGAAATCCCGTGCTTACTGCCTGCTTAAATGTTCACTATGTCCGAACTTATTCCGCAAATGTGTTTCCATCTCTCCTTTTGCGCATTTACTCTATTACTGCCTTGGCGGAGGTTTGCACTCCCTGAGTGCTTCTAGTTTCTTTCTTTTGTCCTATTGGTTGGATTCTTCTCCTGTCTGCTCCTGCTAACTTTTTATCCCGTACCATCCCAATCATGTGAGAAACAGTTAAGGTCTGCATCACACGGAAATATAATCATGCTGATTTTTGCCCTTCGGACAATGTTAAGGAAGTCCAGATTATCGTGATGGCTCTAAAGATAATCATAGCAGATAGTCCTGCCATGGGTGGGGGGTTAAGAGTGATCTAGTTGGCTCGGAAGGACGTTGGGACCGCTACGACCTCAAATCGGGGATATTCAACATGTTTGATTTTTTTTTGGCCCGAAATCACGATGTATGTGACGTTCACCCCAGCTCTCAGACTGTGAATGAGACATGTAGCCAATCAGAAAGCGAGGTGATGTAAACAAAGAGGGGATTCCAAAATACAGAAGGCAAAAAACTGTCATGACTCACCAGAAAGTTTGCTGGATGTTAAAAGTCCCATGGAATTGTTTTTTTCTCTGGTAAAAATAGTCCACAAACAACCAACAATGTTTCTTCCTCGTCTCAAATGTTTATTTACTCTGAACGCACGTCTCTCTGGAGGTCACGTGAGATTTTTCCTCTGACATCTGAATTCTCGCGAGATTTCAGGAAGTCTCGCGTGATTTAATATCTGACATCTGAATGTTCATGAATGAAATATCTTTTCGTGTGTGGTGTGTTGTCTCTTGCCGTGAGGCTGTACACCACACACTATAGGACCAAACCTGGTATATCCATGATTTTTTATCCTCACGTGTGGACTCACTCAGTCTTTGAAAATCGTCCAACTGTTTTAAAATCTTGTAGTGAGACACAGCCTTAAGTTGACCCTCATGTGAGTCACGTGACTTTTGGGATTCCCCAAAAACATAAGCCTCTAACGTGCACCTCTGAAGGGAGACATCCGGGAGGCATCCTAATCAAATGCCTGAACCACCTCAACTGACTCCTTTCGATGCRGAGGAGCAGCGGCTCTTCTCCGAGCTCCCCCTGGATGATGGAACTCCTCACCCTGTCATTCAGGCTGAGCCCGGCCGCCCTACAAAGGAAGCTCATTTCGTCCGCTTTTATCTGGGATCTTGTTCTTTGTCATGACAACCAAAATCACATACAATAGGTTGCCTTCAGGCCTCCCTTGCAAAACAGATCTGTGATCTCAGTGGGATTTGCCTGGTTAAAYGGTTAAATAAAGGTTAATAATAAACAACTTATTGGAAKGATCCATGCCTCTTGACCACAGGTGAGGGTTGGAACGTAGACTCATCAGTAAATCCAAAGCTTTTCCTTTCGGCTCAACATTTCTTTCACCACGACTGACCAAAGCAACGCCCTCATTCCWGAAAAAGAGTCCTTGATACATCGATCCACCTCCTGCTCCATCCTACCATCATTCTGGAACAAGAAACCCCCGCTGACCCAGAGGAGGCGTTGCACCTTTTACCAGTCRAGAACTATGGCCTCAGGCTTAGAAGAACTAATTTTATTACACCTTCTTCACACTCGGCTGTGAACCAACACCCTGATTAGTCGCCATTTTTTGCTCCTCCATGATCTCACAGGTGCAAACGGGATGGGATAGGCAGGGCTCACTGTAATGTTGTTCAACTAATAACTTTCTTTTGCACGAGTGGATCCTGCACCAAACATGAGCACAGCTATAAACTGTGGAGCCAAGCTAAAGCAGCAGCAGTTCTCGAGGATCTGGTCTGACCTGTGGTGTTGAAGCCGAAGAGCAGGGGACAGGAGACRGCGAACGCGAGCACCCACACCGTGGTGATCATAATAAAAACCCTCTTCCTGGAGCGATGGGTGGTGTTGTACAGAACGGGCATCACCACCGCTGTGTACCTGCAAACGCACACAAAATGCACAGGTGTGGGTGGTGACATTAAAACGTGCTGACACAAGACAGTAAATGAAAATAATTAGAGATGCCCAGAAATACCCCCCTGGAGGGAGGGAGGGAGGAAGAGAGAAAGAGAGAGAGAGAGGAGATGAAACAAAACCTAAAATAGAGAGCTAGTTTTATTTCGAGACAATCTGGATATTCAGCAGAACTCCAGGAAGGGCTTTGATTTAAGAGTTAATCAGCAGACTCTACTCCACACCACCAAATGTATAATGAGCACAGGGGAAACTGGGTTTAGCWGCGGCTGAGAAACAGCAATTATGCTGGACTTCAACCCAAACTGGATGTGATGTTATGTCGTTTAGAGCCAGATAACTGTCATCACTGTTTATTCTCATCAGAATAATTACTGCGGTCCAGCTCGGGGTAAAAAAAAAAAAAAAACGCCACGAGAATTCTGAATCCACACAGACACAAACTTTAACCTGAAAAACGCCCGATTTTACTTCTTCTGTTCCTCTCACGTCGTTTGATGTTGAACAAAAGCGGAAAGAAAAGAACGTGGTGGTAAAAATCCMGAATCCCAGCTCAGAACACGAGCTGCTCCTTAACCCGGGAGAGCTTTCACGATTGGTTTCACCTTGAGTTTGATGGGAGAGTTTCTTCTGYGGAGCATTTTGTTGCACAGTGGTCATCGCTGTGGACTTATAAATAAAAAGGAAAAGGCTGTTAAGAAGATAAAAAAGAGGAATGGCATACGGCAGAGAGTGCTGCCGGTTGCTTCAGATGATTTGGAGCTTTAAAGCCATGAAAGCTGTAACGGTGTTGTTGACTCGAGGACAACATGAACCAGCAAATAATCTCGTTTCTCAGGTGCAAATTAGCTGTTTTTAAATGGAAGCGGCTTTCCAACAACGTGCAGCTAAAGAAAGAAAAGAAGTGTCTGCCAACTAATCTGTATTAATTCTTAATAAAGGAATGAAGCTTTTAAATTGTAACTGAAGGAGGAGGCAAAAATGTCAACATTTCTTTAACTAACTGGACTCTTTTCAGAGTTAGAGACCATGTTCAGAAGCCTTTTAATGCCAGTCTTGTTGAGTTTTTATTTTTTATTTTGTAAAAGAAGAAACATTGTCTAATTTTGACCTGGCTGTGCAGCAGCCTCTACGCTCCTCTCGTTTAGAAACACTTCTAAAACACGTCTGCAGGAAGTGCAGCCTGGCCAGTTGGATTCTGGTAAAAGAGTCTCAGAGACGGGTTTGTATCCTCGAGATAAAAAAGACATCATTCTCAGCGAAGGTTGGACTCCACTTTATGTTCCTTATGAAGATAAATTAGTCTCAAAAAGATGTGGGAACTTATATTAACAGCATATAACCCTTGTAATCAGGGATGCAAGATATATTGTCATTAACATCGGTATCAGCCAATGTTGGTCATTTTTTAACACATTAGTGTTGATCTGGTAAGTAAAACTGCACTGCTATTATTGTCCGATATTGATTTCTATCTTGTTGCTGTTGGTGTTTCTGTTTTGGGAGGTGAAATGGTTGGTCGAGTGGTATCTGTTTGATCATGATAGTGACCGTGTAAATAAATAMGTTTTGTTATTGTGTAATATCGTTAAATATCGGTTATCGGCCACAACAGTAATATTAATATCAGATATTGATATCAGCTGAAATTTTCATATCGGTGCATCCCTAATAAAACACAGGCTTACGCCGATATTTCTGGGTTGTAAAAATATTTTTGTGTAAGCTGTTCAATTGAACCAAAATACACAAAATGGCTAAATGTTCTGTAAAAAGATACTGGGAAATATCTGTAGTTTTTGCAGGCTCTCTCATTCACATGTTTCCAGTAGTTTTTATAGAACATGAACCAATAATTTGGAGTAGTTTACCTCAAATGAACAGTCCACACAAACAATACAAGAAGTTGTATTTCCAGAAGAACCAAATGTTAATTTTGTGGACTGTACTGAAATAAATGTCTCTATGGTAGGCTATTGTTAAACAATACTTTAAACTTGGCAAAAAAAAGGGAAGGAAATTTGTGTTTAGTAGATTATTTCTTTGTTGTAACAAAWCTTCTTGGCAATAAATCTTATAGTTGCACCTGACTGGCAGCACCTGGAGGAACCAGAAGCTCAAAACAACAGTCAACAGCAACAACAAAATAAGCTGTTTGGCAATTTTTTTATGTACGCAACCCACATAGCTCTGCTCATCCCACAAATGCATGTTCCTTACAAATGTGGCACAATTTAAAGGGGAAATTAACAGATTTTCCAAGGRTATAAAATTTATTGTCAAGAAGCATTGTTACAACAAAGAAATAATCTACCAAACAAAGTTTCTTTCTTTTTGGATTAAGTATATTTATTTGTTCTCATAAATTTTTAACCTACTCATTTTAGATTTATTCCACAGTACAGTTCATAAAAAGTAATATTTTTGGATCCCAGCAATGTCAATATAAGCATTGGTGTTTTAATACAGGGTTTACGAGCTATAAGTCAGAAATGTCTTTTCCTAATAACTCTGTAGATCTAAAGCTCAGAATTCCCATCTTTTCACCAGCCATGAACGCATCATTTCACACATGAATCTGCAGCACGATGAAAGTTAAAAAGTCACATTCAATTCTGTTTAGACTCATTTATCTCCACAGTTCCTGGTCTCTGACCCTGTTGGTGGTCTTCAGGGACAGGAAGAGAGGAGCGGGTCTGGTTTGAGAATCTCAGTCGGCTCGCTGCGTTTAGCAGGTAATGTGGTTCTGATGCTATTTTTATATCTGTCTCAAGAAACATGTTTTTGAAGATTTTGCATTGTGACGCTCCTGCTCCTGCTATGTGTTGATTGTCATTCGCAGGTGCGTCCTGTTACCTGATTACCTTCTAGGTCTGTTGGAGGTGGAGTCAGAGCGGTCTTAAGCAGCCAGCAGTGCAGGTGTGAGCAGAAGCACGCAGAGGCACACAGACACACGTAGACGTAGACGTAGACGTTGGCACAAGTGACAGAGGAACTGCTGAGGAGGAACAGCTGAGCAGCAGAGTCAGCAGCTGAAGCGCAGCAGCTCAGTAGGCAGCGAGATGGCGCAGCCGAAGGAGCAGTGAGGAACTAAGTCGTGATTGCTGGTGTGAGGAAAGGCATCAGGTACGCTGGGATCCGAAGACGTCAAAGAGCGGGACTCCAACGTAGGTGTGGAGCATGCTGGCGATCTTCATAAGGACCAAAGGGGCGTACGAGGATGGCTTGGTGGTGCAAAAAGGCTGGAACTGACTGAACGTTGACACACGGACCGGGACGAGAACGAGAGCTTTCTTCTGGAAGGAGACGACTCCGAGAGAGGCGGTTAAATGGTGGACAAGAAGGTCTACCGGGAGCACGACGGTGGACAGGACAGTGACCAGTCAGAGACCTTGGTGTGGAGGCAGATCTGGTACTGGACCACACACCTGAAGTGGTCCAGGTAATGAGACAGACATTCTGCGCATCCAGTGTATGGAGCACTGAGGGCGACACCAACTCACAGTTTTTTACTCCTAGACACTTTAATAAATGGCCTAAAGGTTTAAAACTGGCATTCTGTGTCGTGTTTCCTATTATGTTGCAACTCTTAGAGCCGGGTCGTAACAGAGACAAAGACTACCTATTATTTAACAATAAATGAGAACGTCAACTCAAACTTAGACTCAAGCAAAGGTCTAAAAGTAGTTTTGTGATTGCGCTTGTCCTCCTCTGCAGCTCATTTCTCACTATGAGCTGTTTAAACAGATCCCTCGGCACCTCCAGCTCTTAGACTTAACTTTATTATTTCCGCCGTTCTCTCGACGCCTGCAGCTTGCAAGTTCAAAAACCTCAGAGACTTATTAAATATTAACTGTGACACAAGAACGAAGCAAGTAAATAATGTAGATATTCTGTGCACGTCTACAGAACACGTTCAAACGCAACCCAATTCCCCAGATTTTTACCAACAAGTGTTCAGGAAATTGGACAGGAAGCTTCCTGGTTGTTGTCACTTATATACTGTATGCAGTCCTGCTGCTGCAGAAAGAGTTTAAATGTTTAACGCAGCGAGGCCCTCCCCCCACACTCACCTGTCGATGCTGATGGCGCACAGGTTGAGGATGCTGGCCGTGCACATCATCACATCCAATGTGACGAAGACGTTACAGTAGAGGCGGCTGAAGAGCCACGCCCCGCCGACCACCTGTGCAGGACAGACAGGCAGATTGAACAAACACCTCTGAACGCTTTCATAATACTCTGAAAAACAACTTATTTTCTACTCTGATCGAAAATAGGTTTTAATTCTGCCTACAGCTCTAAAATGTTTATTTCCTCTGACGTTGTTACCATGATAGTTTATTTTGTTAGCAGAGCGGAGAGACCGACACTAACAGAGTGTAAAATGATCATGAAGAGGGCAATGTTTTATTTTGAAAGGGCATAAGCCAACAGCTGATCCTACAATACCCCAATCTCCCACGTCTCCTGCGGGTAATAACTGTCTGACAAAGATAAATGAGATCCAGGAGCTGCCTCGGTTCTGAATCACTCAGATCCAGAATGAGAGCACGGAGCGGTTCAGTCTGTAAAACAAAAGTGTAAATAAGAAGCAGTTCCTCYTCACTCGACTCGCAGAGGATATTTATAGGTTCAAGTTATTTTTTTCTTGTTTCAAACACAGTAATAAAATGCTCCTTAACGTTTCAACACCAAATACTGTTAGAAAACTGGGTCATATCTGAATATTTACACCAACTTTTTTTTGTTTCAGCCTGTTCAAATGCAACAACCTCCCACAAAACACAAAACTGTTGATTTGTTTACTTCAGATTTTATCCAGCGGAGCAAAACAAAATGCCAAAGAATGCAGTTTCGTATATATACGCTCACTGACACAAAAAAGAAAAGCCAAGCGTCAGACGGAGCGGTGAAATGAAGTGAGACGTGCTGAAGGGTCATGTGACTGAAAAGCGATTATCAAGTAAAATGAATAACAGACCTGCTAGTCCCATGCTACACAATGCTAACATGTAGCATTCATATTTACTGCCTCAGAATCATAAATGCTTCAGACTGGAGTCTGATGAATGTCGCATTTCAATAATAATGTGGAAAAACCTTGCAAAAAATACAAATAAATAAATAAAATTGTATCTGAGCATCAAGACCTGAAGTAAACATAGACTTAAGGTCTCTGCATCGTCCACCCAAACCTGTGAAATCCGCTCTCGTTGTTGTAGTTGTGTGCCGAAAAATCTGTAATTCTGTGGTCAGATTTGTGTGTCCCGCCCCTTCTTGTTATTATTTGTATTCTGCACACAAACCTATTGTGTGATTGGTCAGAAGCTTGTGTTTGTTCATGCAGTAAAGCGCTCCGACAACTATGGCAGCATTTTACTTCAACCTCTCCTCTCCCAGACATCGACTGTTGTGTGTTTAAAAAGCATGAACAGTTTTGGGGAGTGAGCTGTCAGAAAGTTCGTCCATCCAGGATTTTAAGTAGGATTTTGGAAGAAGGTATTAACACTTCAAGCTACTGATACCAGCATTTTTAAAAGTACTCATACTTGTTTAAAAAGCACCGATATCCAGAGCCGATACCAAGTTTTTTTGCGAGGACATTCACTTCATGAATGTGACCTCCATTAGACTCTAATTTGAACGCTTCATGACGTCTATGTGCAGAAGATTCAGCTCGCTGTTTACAGGAGTAAAGTCTCTGCATGCATGCTACATGTTAGCACGTCAGTTCTAATGTTGTTGTGCAACCAGAGAAGATTAAATAATTATCTGACATTCTTGTTTAGTTTACTATTTATGTTTAATTATACATGAACAGCGGGTAAAATAAGTATTGAACACGTCACCATTTTTCTCAGTAAATATATTACTAGAGGTGCTAATGACGTGAAATTTTCACCAGATGTTGGTAACAACCCAAGTGATCCATACATACAAAGAAATCAAACCATAAATGTCCAGAAACGAAGTTATTTGTAATTATGTGGAATGGCACAGGGAAAAAGTATATGTATATATACAGTATATATA